TCACTAGCAAATGCTTTTTCATTCTGCTTGTTTACCATCGAATTTCCTAAACGATTAGTCCGCAGGCACATTAATACGCTGCTCAATTCCTTGTGATCAGCCAAACCAGAAGTTTACCCGTCCCTCAAACTAAGGAATCGCTGCCTATCTGGGCTAACCCGCATTGTGTCTACTAATTATGATGTACTTGAGGAGCCAGTTACATTAACAAAACTCCCACTATGAAAGAACGTGTGCCGAAATGAGTTCAGGGTGAAGTTGCCAAGATTCCCTACCCCCTCAATATCCGTGCTCGCGTAGGTTGCCGCTTTTCTCCATAGGCAAACACACTGCTATCGGGTCATCGGATAGTGCTTAGCTCAGCGTTCAAAGTGGTGTTGCGTCACGCTAACCCTGCTTCCTTCTGTTTGTCCAGGCCTTCGCTGTAAGCTGGATGATGCCAGGCTTGTGCGTTCAAAAACAATTGCTCGTCAACTTATGAACAATGATATATTACAGGTACAAAAGCGATTGCTTTACAAGTCCCGTAGGATGGTGGAAGTGAAAGTAAACATAAGTTTAAATCGTCAATTTCAGCGTCTAGCGATTCAGGTGCCCCTTATTCATATAAACATTTTAGAATGTGTACTGAATTGTTACTGTAGAGTAATATGGGGAAGTAATATGGAGAAGGTATGTCTTAAGAACAAAAAAAACGAAAACACTTACTCGTGCGCCGTTTTCTTGGACTGGTAATTGATGAATGTAGTTGTAATACTGAATACTGAATACTGTATTATAGAGCAAGTAGAAATGGATTCTGTACAACTCTTTCGAAATATGGTGAAAAACGTTATAAGATGGTCAACCGTGAATATCATTGTCGTTCTCATGTAATATTTAAAATATTTGACTTACGATATTTCAGGATTCACAAATGTGATATGTCATCGTAAGTGTGCAGTCGTTCTCTGAAGCGAATAGAGGCAAAATACAAATCTAACAACGTTTTGAACTGCTGCACAGATGTAGCCGAAACTATCTTCCACAACAGCAATGTGTAAGTAGTGAAGCACAAAAGCTGGGAATGAGCGCCGTTTGTTCGCGTTTGGTTGACGTAGACGTCTGTTGTTATATAGTGCCCTGGACGTAGAGACTGAATTCCGTCATTCACTTTGCGGCTTAGACTTGTCTGGTAGCACTCAATGTGAGCTAAAAATATACATATCAGTTAATGGTAATGGTACTGGGAGTCAACACATAATGCATGTATCCACCAGTTTTCATCTTCCTCCTGTGCTTTTTAAATTGTTTAACCGAGCTAATTGCTTTAATCATCCCGTGTTTTCAAGCACAACGTATACAATTCGGTGAACGGATGTGCTAGGATGTCAGCATACTCTTTAAGGACGACAGAAGACAGTTTATCCTAACCGGATGACTTGTTCGACTACAGGTTTGTTAATTGCCGGTGTGCTTCTAAGCTGTTCACACAAGCTAGTTTAATTGAGGGCAATTTTGACATATGTTATATCGGAGAGTTCGAGTACCCCTCGTATTTTTGGACTACGACAAGCAATCTAGACTGAGGCTAAAGTTAGCTTTGAAGCAAACCTCTACCATCTCGACCACTGGGATCGCTTCCAAAGTGGAGCGTTTCGGAGCTGCTCTCTCCCAACACTGCACTCCGGAACCAGAACATTTCGTCCTTAATCAAACTCGTCAGGTAGAGATAGCCTGATCTGTGAGGGAACCCGACACACTGGTTGATATCTTTCATCTGCGTCAAAAAGCCAGAGCTCTAAGAGCAACACTTGATACAGCTGTTAGAATTACTTTGTTGGAGATTGGAGTACCCGCCGTGTGTCTGGATTGCGACACGCCATATCGATTAAGGCTATTTCGATCGATGAGACCTCTTCCGCAGTGGCGTTTCGCAACTGCACTCTCCCAACACGGCACTCCACGACCGACCAGGTTCTTCCTCATTCAAAGCAAACTGTGGTTTCAATCAAGGTTACGTGTCGCAATCCAGCTACACGACGGGTAATCCAAGACCCGACAATCAAGCGACCACACAGTTCTTATTGCTTACGCGGAGCTGCTGCGGCAGCAATCCCACGTGCTGCTTTCAGATTAAAAAGTGCTGAAAGACGGATTGTGAAGGGTTGACTCTAGCCGCGAGCTGAGTGGATTGTCTCGCCGAAATCTACATGGTTCACTTCGCTGCTTTGTATGCAAATAAGTAGACGTCAGTACCGAGTTCGGCGTGCATCGCCAGCATCGCACTCGGCAGTCTGCATTGTGTGGAACAGGTAGGACAACAACTCGCCAACCTTGTCGGCATCAAACCTGCTGGACCTGACGGTCTCCACCCAAGTTCTTATCGATCATCACGCCTGCTGTAACTGACCTGTTCAACAGGTCCCTGTCCGGGGGTTTATTGCGATTGAGTGGAAATGCTCGGTGGTAAGGCTGGTTCTAAAAGGCAGTGGCCCCAATCAAGTCGACAACTACAGGCCATTACTTATGAATGGAAGGATTTTGGTGAGTATTTTTGTTCGTCGCAATCAGCCGACAATTCAGATATGTCGACCAGTTGTCCGGAAAAGCACCAGACGGCCTGTTCGCCCTATTGGGGCTCATCAGTGGTGCGCATCCTTCGGTCCTCTGCGGAGGATCGAACCCATGACTGCTAGTGGCTCTTGCCAACTAGCCCGCAGTTAATGCAACTGCGCCATGGAGGACGGTATCTGACTATCGTGAATTGTTAGCTAAATGCGATATAGCCCGACGCATCCTTCACTGCCATGCAGGCACCTGCCATGCAGATGACAGCGGTCGGCCTTCCGGCCTTCCGGCGTCAGGACTTCCCGGTTACAGCAGCTATGAATCGACATAGCATTTTGCGGAATCCGTACGGGCGAATTGGTATTACTTATGAATGGAAGGATTTTGGTGAATATTTTTGTTCGTCGCAATCAGCCGATGCTCCGCAGAGGACCGAAGGATGCGCACCACTGATGAGCCCCAATAGGGAGAAACGACCGGCTGGTGCTTTTCCGGACAGCTGGTCGACATATCTGAATTGTCGGCTGATTGTGACGAACAAAAAACTACAGGCCAATTTGTTTGACATCTAGTTTGGCCAAGGTTGTCGAAAAGATTGTGAAGTAGAGTTTGCTGCAGCGGTTCTGCTCAAACGATATCCTAACGCCCACACAGCTCGGTTTCATGCCAGTCCGCTCATGCATCATCAACCTGCTCATGATGAGGTTTGAATGGTTGAAAGCAGTGATCCAGGGGAAGTCTGTCGATATACTCTACATCGATCTCAATATAACGTTCGACAAAGTGAACTATGAAGTCCTCCTTCACAAGTTGAGAGTGTGCGAGTTTGGTGGCTCACTACACCAGTTAATCCGCGAGTTTCTAGTTGCACGAAGGTGGAGGGTGTAAATTGATAGCCATCTGACCGACTGATATCCTCGGACAAGTAGCATACCGCAAGACACGGTGATGGGGTCTACATTATTACTCAACCTCAGCCATCATTCCATGTGGTCTAAAGCAGTCCGCCTGACGGTCAACCCATCCAAGTCGGTATGCATGGGCCTCGGAAAGAGACGTGATGGCGAACCTAAACACTTGACGGCAAACTGCTACAACCCACCCCTTCCGTGAAGAACCGAGGCGTACTCTCACGTTGCGATGTGAATTCCGTGGCAAAGACGAACAGGCTACACTGAAACAGAAACGCATGCTAAACTACCGATCCCCATCTAGTCTGAAGAGGTTGTCACTCGTCTCTTCTCCTCCATCATAAAACCAAACCTAGGGTGCGCATCGCCCGCCTATTGCGCGATCACTCGAGGCTAGGCACCGAAGATCAAACGGGTCTAACGCGTTGCTCCCAGGCTCATCGCAGCTGCAAGGCCTACAGTACGAAGACAAGTGTTAGAGGCTGGGACTGTACACCCAGACCTATCGTAGGTTGCGACTCGATCTCATCATAACTTACCGCATTCTACATGTAGGTTACTTCCCCATGCTGAGGCTACTGCTCCACTCGCGAACAGCTTGTACTAAACCTGTGGTACCAGATTTGAAGCGAGTTCCCAATCCCCTGTACTTTGAACAACGAGTGGTCAATGTTCGGAACAATTTGCAGGAAAATATAGCGAAAATAAACTCACTGCAGCAGTTCAAATCATTTTAAATATGCATTTCTCCTATGTTAGATTCCGTGAACGATTGCCCACTGACAGCAAACATTTGTGAGTTTAATATTTACTGTGTTATGCGAATTTTTAACGATATCACGTGAGAACTTGGAAAACGATCAGTGTGTTAACAGGTCTTCGGTTTTTAACGTTTTTGGTTGTATTTCTTTGTTGTGCCTAATCAAATTTCTCATTACTCCCATAATACAGTATTCTGTATTGACTGTGGAAAACTGGGCTGTGCCGTGGCATAGAATCTAATACGGATGTTGAAGTATCTAGAGTCTAAATTATTCCATCCTTGATTGTCGCATGTTTTGGTGTCGAAAAACAGAAGAAAAAAATGCCAGAAGCTAGTGTATGTACTTTTGTAGACGGCGTAGAACAGCACAGCCATGTGTGAAAGTCCCACTGACTAGTTCGCAGTTTGGTTCACATGTAATGATTGCACGTTTACCTATTCGCGACAAAAATCAAACAAGTGCTGGCACACCTTCTCCGGCCAACCGACTTCCGCGTATTTCTAACAGGTTTTAACAAATCTAGTGCACCACGGAATCCTGTCAGTTAAATGCATGGCATCGATGTTCCTGCATACCCCACAATAATTCTGTTTCCGTTCACGCAACATTTTTTTATTTAGCTTAGACGAAAATTTAATTCCCACATACCTATCCGCATGTATCGTGGCGTATAGAAACGAAGATGATTTTACATAACTGATACAGAACACTATTTTCGCCCAGTGCTATTGTTCACACCTTCATTATTACGGGTTTCGCTTTCTGAAAACTGCAGGTAAAGGAAACTACTTGTCAGTCTAACCGGTTGATTGAGAAACGCATGGCTTCGACTGAACTCTTGGATGATAAAATTTCCATGTTCCGTCAACAAGCAACCATCGTATCGCGTAAAAAGGCTGTGGCAGCAGAGGCCCTTGCTGTAGCGAGAGACAGTTTAGCGACGATTGAGCGCCGTCTAGCAGAAACCCGGGTTCAATTGGCTCAGATCAATGGAGCAGCTGGAGAACACACTGGTGGGTCCGGAGATGCTGGAAGCGGAGGACCATGGGAGACGCGTCCAAGTGGACCCAAAATGCTGAAAACTGATGAGGTGATTTTTTGTAGAAAGTAGAAGTCACGATTAAAATTCACGCACAATAATATGCCTCGACGGGGAGTCGAACCCCGGTCCACGAATTTCCGGTCCGGTGCTCTACCACCTGAGCTACCGAGGGCTGACGATTAGGTGCGCAAATTTTAACACATGACTTCTGAGTTTTGTTAAGCCTTTTAGCCCTAAGCGACCACTTTCTGTTGTGCAACAAAAGTCACTTTGATAGACACCAACAAAATAAACCACCCTAGTGACTCCATAAGCGTCCTTCATTGCTGCTCGAGCCCTCTTTGAGAACGCATGAGCATTTTGATTAGCAATAGCGTCTGTTTGTTCTTTACTGTCTTAAGTTCTCATCGGTCGTCGCCACCAGCTTTGGTGAGTTAAATGAGTACAATGATGTTCTGGTTTTTTTCACTCGTTTCTTAAGCGCGCCTCAAACGGCTTGCTGTCCTGCTCGCGAACTTACTGTGTTTAGTAGTGTTACATGTGACTACTGCGTAGCACAACGATCGTCTTCCGAAAACCCAACCCTTTATGAGCCATACCTGTGCGGTACGGCCGCACTTTAGCTCGGCTGTCGCTCCATCTGCCGACACTATTCCAACCCTCGCCACACATACGTGTGTGCACAAGCTCTTTCGAACCAGTTCGATGAGCGCTACTCACTGCTTCCAAACTTTTGGATCTAGCTTGTGTGGTTCATATTGTTGCTCCATTCCAGCCTTGGCACATTCGTTGCCAAAATCTGCGCGTGTAACTGCATCATTCTTGAGTTGTTCAGTAGAAGAAGCTGAGGATTCTCCAACGATCCTGCGACTATCGCTGCAGGTTGTAGCACAACAAAGCTAGGGGACATTTTGGATCGGTCCCCCACTACACAGCACTGTGAAGCTAGCGCTTGTCAGCGTCCTGGTTGCTTCTTCGCCGATGTATATTGACATGTCGCGTCTTCTAGGGGTGTGTGCGGACACCCGCGAGACGACTGATCGCTGAACGCTTCAATTTGCTCGCGAGCGAGAGTGAAACAACCAACTGCCTCGGGTCCATGGATGGACTGAGCGTCCACAACATGTTCACGCGATCTGTTGGCAGCGGTAGCAGGTCCGAGCGTTACCTACTGGAGATTCACAAGTTGAGGACAGCGTTCTACCTCGGTTAGACGTCCCTGGCTCTTTCTTCTACTGTTTACATTCCCGTATCCTTTGCAACCATTACTCGTGCTTGGTTTCGTCAACTACTTAGCTCAGGCTAGATCCCTCTGGCAGCTGTGACAACAGCAGCTAGCTAGCCACTAGGTGTTATTTAGTCGCACTTTATGTCCCACGTGGTCTCTTACTGGATGGTTTTAATAACTTCATCTAAGCGACTAAGAGGTATAAGTTTGTATTGCAACCCCACAGGTCTAGTACTCTCTACGTACGCAATGGCCACGGAAGCTCCTGTAATCCTCGAATGAACGCATGTTACAGGTGTGAGTACGCGACCCACTCTTCCTAAAGGCGCCTGTGGAACATGCAATAAGTTAGCCAAAATAAGATTATCAATTCCAACTGCTCTACTTATTTCCATACCAGATGCTGGAACATGAAGCCCAGCGAATTTAGGCCGCTCAATAGCAGGCCAGACTCATTTCGGTTCTGCATGATGTGTAATGCAGTAGCCGTAATTAAGACCGTATTCGCACTTTCCCATAAGCATGAAAGACTTACAGATGTACTTGAAAAATTTTAAACACAAAATAGCTTCAGTAGGAACAGGCGTAGCAGAACGTATGAACACGGGGTCTCCACTGAACCCTACTGCAAGCCACTAGGGCCAAGCTTTCATGTCACCACACGTTACAACTATGTGTGTTACGCCTAATATCCGGAAGAACACACTGAACCCACACGTATCACCACACGCCACAACATCCTGACGGATCTGGGACTTCTTGAAAGGTGGTCACTCTGGCAGCGCATTGAGTCAGTTTCTTGGACTTTCTAACAATCTGAACATAACTACTACAGAACCTACAAGAGTTGGTTCCACCAATCCATCGTCCTCCATCTGAAGTAGTACTTCAAAGCTCATGTCACTATGAAATGCAGTTTGCTACACTTACAAAGCCAGTTATGATGCCCAAACCTGGGGTGACACATGACTTAACGCAACTATTAAAATACGCTTCTCCGTGAGGACAAAGTGGCTAGCGAACAACGATTCGATTGTGACTTTGCTAAAGTCAAAAAGTTGCTGAATAAGCAGGTTAACATCATTGGCAAAGTGAAGCACGGTATCCCTCCACTTAACCCGGAGTGGCACACAGCACTAAAGGATCATCCAATGGGATACGGAATCAGTATGTCACGACCTCTTGGCGAAGTGTACACCAGTGTCACATACCTACACAAATCGCCGAAATTTTCTCACTTAATAACATGGAGATTACCGCCACATCCGTCCTAAAGAAATTGCTTTCAATTCACACATACATTTCTCCTGGAATCGTTAAAATTCACCCGAGGGTGCTGCACACAACATTCGCAACCTTGACCGGGCCGTTGGCGCATTTAGCTCAGTTGTGCTTGGCTAAAGAAAGTTGGCCCACTATGAGACGAAATGATTATGGCGCACCTGATTTTGAACAATCCAAATCATGTGTGCCGACCCTTACTGCAATTCAGCTTTAAAACGAGGCTTAAAGGCCAATTCTTGAAATTAGCACACCGGTACAGCCGTTTGGAGTGCCATAGGAATTAATTTGCATTCGTGATTGTCAAGCATGGAACGCTTTCCCCAAACCGGTTGTTCCTGCACCCACGCCAGACATAGTTAAAATTCGGTTGAAAGACGCATTACGTCGCTTATATTTGGTTACCTGACGTTACTCTCCATCCTACTCTCGGGAAACATATTGGATCTATTTTTTGTCTACTGAAGCTATGGCAACACTGGGAGTGCTGCGCTACTGCATTACATACGACAAGTCCATTCTTTTGACAGTAGAACTACTAACTACATCTTTTCGTTAGCGTTTCTCCACAGCTCACCAGACTACCCAACAATGCTTATAAAGCAGCTCTCCTTAACACGTATAAATTCATTGTTCAATCATGTGGAGACATTAGCTAATCACGCCAATTTTCAAAAGTGTCAGTCCTTCGGAACCCGCAAATTATCGCCCAGTTTTTTTCTACTTCCCACTCTCAGTGGTTATTGTGGCAATCGTCACCGATGCTTGAGTCAACCGCTTCCAGTGATTCAACATCATAACACCGGAGCAGTGCAGCTTCCTTAAACACCGTTTATGCACAACCAACCTACTGATTGCAGACAGTAGTTGGACGGAAGCGACCGACAAATCCCTTACCTCGACTTCTCCAAACTCTTCGACCGCCTGGACTACCACATTCTGCTTCACGAGCTGGAAAGTTGTGGAGTTGATGAATTTGTCCTTAGGTAAATCAGGAAGTTCTTGCAGAATCGGCAACTACCGCTTAGAGTTCGTAGTGCGCTGTCCGATCCGATTCATGTCAAATGTGGAGTTCCACACGGATCAGTGTTGGGGACGTGCCTGATTCTTATATCTATTAACGAGCTTACATCTGATCGTCTCGGATTTCTTTGTTTTCGCTGATGATGTTAATATGTTGCAGCCGATCGCTCTTCTTAGAGAGCAGGATACACTGAAATAAATATCGGTTTATTCTCAGCGAAACTAGACATGTCCACACGACCATGAATATTAGAATTCACTATACTGTCGTGAGACCTGGACAGCGCGTTTAAAGGCTCATGACGTACTCTGCTCCCGTTTAATTCCTATAAGTGTATGGTGGTCTACATTTGTCATCAGCCAAACGTCATATACAGTCATGAAGACAATGACCTGTAAGCAGTTACCCAAGGGCGCGATCATGGTGTATTAATGTAGTTTGATCTGGGCCGATCAGAAAAATCCGAGAAGGCGTCAAAGGCTAGGGAGCAACAGATTGTTAGGTTGCGGAGGGTATTTGGGTGGTTTGATCCATCTGTCTGCGCTTAGATGCTTAACACATACTTGCCGACTCATGCGGAATGTGCTAGCTAGCTCTTGCGCAATCAAGATCTTGCACCGATTGAGACTCCACAGCAAAGATCCACCAAACACGTGAAAAAGTTGTTCCACTTGCCATATCAACTTAGGCTGTGGGCAGCCGGCCGAATCCTTAAGAATCACAAGCTTGCCTCGCAATCCGAGGGCGCGGGTTCGAGCCTGCTTTGGAACTGTGCGACTATCGCGTTATCCGTAGTCCACGTGCGACTGTTGGTGGCTGTGCGGCAGCGAAGCGTCCGTACTGCGTACTTGCGTACTGCTGACACTTTTTTAAACTGTGGACCTTAAGATTATACAGCTGTCAGCATCGACGCATAAGTAGCGACCTAATGATAGGTTATTAGATTCTGAGGAACCAAACCGCATGTAAAGCCACCTATTGCAACTCAGACACAACACGCATTTCAAGGCTCGCCAATTCAAGTTGGTCACGCATTACGGTCGGTTAGAATGGTGGTGCAACGTTTACTATCTTCTTGTGTGTCATTCTTGGAACACCCTCCAAAAGTACGACAAGACGTTAAAGTGGGGCGGAAACAGCGTACTTCTTCCTGGGAAGAAGAGAGATACCTATTCGATTCGTTCGAGCGCAATGGAGACCCACGCAGCTTCATTCGCAGATGTCTAAACCACAAACTTATGAACACCGAGCCGATACCAAATGCAAGCAGAAGGGTCGTTTTCCGTATATGAAGAACATATCTGAAATGACTGTCAGATTGCTGAAACAACACAGTATCGTGGTCGCTCATATGCCAAGCGCTACTTTGAGAAGAATACTATCAAACCCAAAGGACATTAGGAATGCAAAAGAGCGAACAACCGTCGTGTATAAAATAAATTGCAATAATTGTGAAATGAACTATGTGCGGCAGACAGGAAGGAAATTGTCCACAAGAATACAAGAACATCAGAG